CCTGTGAGGTCCTGCCCTGCCAGGCAGGTGGGTTTTGGAGACACCTTTGCCATGATCAGCTGGCAGCAGAATGAAGAGATGGTGTCTGATAAAAGCAAGAAGGGTTTTTCAGAAGGTGGATAACCTGGGCCKGAGCCAGGCGAAGGACTGGCGTGGGGGCACACACAAGGGCTGCCAGGCCATGGGCAGGGTTGGGTGCCCTCATGTCTATCCRCAGGGCAGGGCACGTTGTCAGATTTTCTTCTATTCCTTCAGGAATCTGTGTAATTCAGGGCATGCTGCATCCCYTCCCCTGAGGAGCTCCAAAACTGGGATAACCATACCTGCTGGGAAGCAGCTGAGCAGAATTCCATGGTGCTGACAGACAGACTTGYTCAGGGACTGAGCACAGCTGCAGGTCTGCAGGAGTATGAATAAGCAAATTAAAACTTAGTTTACTTTCTAGAGAGATGGAGTTATGTCCTGTTGAATACATCATTAAGTATTTCCTGATCGAGGATCTGAGTGCAACTTCCTTTCCAGTCATTTCATGAGCTTAGAAAAATTATATTAAATAACATTTTCAAACCCCACTGCTAAACTTGAGGGCAAAGGAGAACTTTGGTGTGTGCTTATCTGGGTGGTGCCTGTCTGCGAGTGTGGTCCAGCCTGGAAATCCAAATCCTCCCATAAGCAAAGGAGCTGGCTCCATTCAGAGATGCCAAAGCTAATTAAAACAAAAGTGTGTGCTGAGCATTTTTGCAAACCAGATGTCTCAAACAGCCTCTTGGCCATAGAAGCCTGCGACCTGTAGGCTGTTTGAAATCTTGAAATCTTGGTTTTCTCCTCTCAGCCTCATTTTCCCGCCTTTGTAAAACATTGCTAATAATACACCCTCACCCACAGAGGAGGTCGCTGAGAATTCATTAGCTGGTATTTGTAAAGCACTTTGAAAATGCAAAGCCAGTGCATTATTCCTACTCTTCTGGATGCTTTCCATGTTATTAAAATCAGGATTTCAGAAAGGCTTATCTGGGATCAAAACAGCATCCCAAACTTGAAAGGAAGCAAGACTGTTAAACCATCAACTGTCGCCTCCCCCTCCAGCCAGATGTTAAGCCCTAAAGAACTGAAGTGGCACAAGGAATTACTTTCCCAAGTTCCCCCAGCTGGGCTGACAGGCCTTGATCAATGGTTTTCTCCACGGTGAGGGCTATGCAGATGGTCTGCCCAGAGCAAGGTTTCTGTGGAGTACAAAGGGAAGTCAAACACCATTTCTAATTCAGCTTGTAGCATGGCACACTTCCTTTATCCTCTGCCTGAATGCCCTGAATGGGAGAGCGGTGTGGGAAACTGGAGAGAACTCCACACTCACCACGGCCGCGGGGCTCGGAGACACCCCTGTCCTCAAACCACATCTGCCTGTGACAGGCAGGGGGGAAAGGAGTGACAGATCAAAAAATCAGATTATAAAACCTGCATGGAGGGAAAGTAAAGCATCAGGAAAAGTGGAAAAAAGGGAAGGAAGCTGTGCAGGCAGACGGAAATTGCACCAGCCAAGCAGCAGGACAGGGAAGGACAGGGAGGAAATGCAGGGAAGGGTTAGGAGGAAATGCAGGGAAGGGTTAGGAGGAAATGCAGGGAAGGGTTAGGAGGAAATGACAGGGAAGGGCTGGGAGGAAATGACAGGGAAGGGAGCTGCAGAACAGAATCTTGTGCACCTACCAAGTCATTTGTCCCATTGGAGTTGGCAAAGGAGGGTTAGATCTGCTTTGAGACTTCTGAGCCACATCCCATTGCCTGTTTGATTTCCCAGTCTGTTCAATATGTCCTGTGAAACACAGCAATTCCTGTGAGCCATGGGGATATTGTGAGAGTTTTGTACTGCTCATGGGGAGCTGTGGAAGCTGAGCCCAGAAAACTCAGTCAGGTTTTATACCAGCAGTACCAGGGGAGTTAAAGAAATGGAAAACAACAGACCCAATTCTTGTTTTGGTATTTGGCAGACGAAAATTCAGATTTTCATTGGGTTTTGATAAATTCTACTGTAGGTGTAGAGGTAATTTGTATTTACAAGTTAACAGATTGGAAAATAGCTCCAGAGGTACGAAATCTGCASAGCAAATCCTGGAGTCCAAATTTTCTGTTGGCCTCAGTGGGGATCCCAGTAAGGCCCTTGGCATTGGACCCATTTCATTTTCCACCTCAGGATGTTCTTCAGGCCTCAGCACGAACTAAATATCCTCCATTTTCCTGCCATTCCTGCTCCTAGTTCATCTCTGCCCCTGCTCCCCTTTSTAAATGACTTACTAACATAAGGCTGTGGAAGTTTTCGTACTCTGGAGTTTCCCACACCATTCCTTAACCACATTCCCTCCTGTCACAAAGGAAGTGTGCCCGACTACAAACCACATTAGCAACGGTGCTTGGCTCTGCTTTGTGTTCAGTGGGAAACCCTGCTCCCAAAAGGCCATCTGGGCAGCACGGACYGGGAGGGAAGCAGTGGGAGCAGGGAGCATCTCTCCAAACTTGGGAAAGTGGCAGCATCCTTAAGGYTTTCTGAAGGGCTAACATCTGGCAGGGATTCTGGGGCAAGGTTGTTGGCTGCTGCCCTATTTCAAACATCTTGACCCAGTATTTTGGGATCCTAATGAACTTTTTGTCCAGYAGTGTGTCCAGTTTGGAATAGGAGATGTGTAATTCTAAATTTCTCCTCCTTAGTGTAAAGTTCATGGACTCTGTGAACTTTATAATAGGGAAGAAGTTTTGTTATCATTTTCTTTAGGATTTCCAGCCAAAGCAGAGGCTCTATTTTGGGTAATTGAGCATCTAATTTGAGTAACTCTTCCAACACGATCAATAATTGGCTAATTTTTCCCCTCAGAGATTGTGAAACCAAAGAGAAAATAAAAAGCTGTTTTAAATACATGTTTTTCTTTCAGATTCTTTAAAATCCATGTGTGACACAGAGCGAAGTAGTAGGAACCTCAGTAGATTTATCATTTAGGGGAGACTTTGCTACATTTACCTCCCAATAATACACTGAATATTRTAATTCTTATTATCACACACAGTTTAAATATGCAGGGCCTCCAGCATCTCTAGCAAAAGTGGAATGCCACAGAAGATCATTTTGCATTCAGCCTCAGGTGCAGGCTCTGGGTCAGTTTGGATGCTGGTGCACAGGAAATTCTGTGCACTGATGCCTTGACTGTGCCAGTGCGCAACCACTCCCAAGAGCAAGGAGGGTGAGGTTGGCATGACTATTCCCGTGGAATTAATGTAGTTTTTATCTGGGTATTGAGTGGGGAATAAGAGGAAAGCAGCAAGAGGAAAACAGCAATTGTCTCTAGCAAAACTGCCCTGCCCATCACGGGACTGGCACTTTTCTTCTTTGTGCGCTCATTTAACGAACTGGAGAAATGGGTCCCATCTCCGGAGCTTCTGTTTCAGGAAATCTCCCCGAGAGGGATGAGCAGAGGGCAAGATTGGTTTCAGAGGTGGCATTACATGGGCTCAGAGATAATCCACAGGCTTTGAGGAGAACATGTGAAACGGTGTCACAAAAGCTTTCCCACAACTTGACATAAAAGACCCGGAGCTCAACAGCTGCTGCTCTGTGCCGAGAGAAGGGAGCCCATTCAGGGCAGCACAATAGGGATGGAAAAGCAGAGCCTGGAAGAGGTCATTGAAGCCTTACCTGGTGCTGCAGTAATGAGCTGCAGTGAGAGAGAGAAATGGGTGCCTGTGCTCTGGGTGTGGGTGTGCTCACATTAAAGGCYGTGTGCGACCACACGCACACAGTAATGTAAAGGTGAGCACACCTACACATATATTAATGCTATTTATACAGCTGGTATTTATTTACTTACTACAGTAAGAGCTCCCCGAACATAAGCCCTGACATTTCTTGATGGATAAATTGCTGGCAGATCTGGTTCAAGTTTTCCAGCAGGAATCCSTGGCTGTGATTTTATCAGAGACTGTCAGCTCGCCCAGCTGCAGGCACCTCCTGAGCACAGGCTGTGCATGCAACACAGAAACTGACCCAGGGGAGAATAATGAGGAATCAGAAATTTGATTTTTAATAAGTTTATATGGATATAAATGTCTTCTGCACCCAGTTTTCCTTTGTGTATAGACTAAATGAAAATAATTAGAATAAAATACCTTTTGGGAAGGAAGTGAGAAGCAGCACAYWATACTGAACKSATYCCAAAACAYTCCCAAGACCCTTCTCCACAAGTAKTTATCTTGCAGGTATTTGGAAACAGAAAGTGTTTATGACTTGGTTTGAGAGTTTTCTAAAGAGCTGCATAAAGAACCGGGGGAAGGGAACAACGATCAAAACAAAAAATGTTTGCAATCATTTTGTGTGCTAAAAAGGAAACATTTTTATTTACAGTAACTCAAAGTGGGAAAGGCGTTTTCTGTTTCTCGTGGGCAAAACTGGTGTCAGTCGCCTGTGGGAAAGCCACAAGCGGCTCGCTGTGGAAACCAGGTGAGGATTTGAGGAATTTCTGGACGCCGGGAGCTGCTCGTGTGTGCGTGTGCCTTGTGCCTGCTCCAGCGTGTGCCTCGGCGCGTTCCCGGGAGCAGCGCAGCATTCCCGCCATCGGCAGCTGACCCCCTCCTTCCTCCTCCTCCTCCTCCTCCTCCTCCTTCCTCCCGCTTGTGAACCCCGGGCTGCCCCTGGAATGCTATTGATCCGCGGCATTAGTCAGCAGCCTTTCCCATTGAAGGGCAGCTCTTTCCCAGCTCCTGACACGTAACTCTGATCCCAGCCTTTCAGGGAGCACACACTCCCCACCTGCTCATCTGGGAGAAGGTCATTATCCGCGGGCTATTCACTGGCACTGGAGCATGCAAGAATAGCTGCTTCTCCCATTGTGCTGCCCATGGCCCGGATTGGCTGGCGAGTGTGGGAAACGCCACCGAGCCGCAGACCCACACACTCGGCCCRAGCTCGGATAGTATAAATATCGGGCACAGGCAGCTTCCAGCAGCACGTTTCTCCTGGATTCCACTCCAAGACCTCTCTGCTCAGGACAGATGGCTCCCAGCACGGTTTTCTTGGAGCCCGACAACCTGCTGACACCAAAGGAGAAAAACAAAGTAAGTGCAGGCACAGCACAGCGGAGCAGTTTACACCAGCTGAGACCTTGCCTCAAGCTGTTTAGGACAGTGACTGGGCAACAAACAGCCCTGCAKAATGTCAGGGAGAGGATCCTTTATTAACAGGTCTCTTTTCCTTTGCTTTTTACAGCTGAGGAAGCCGGTGGTGGAGAAAATGCGCCGGGACCGGATTAACAGCAGCATTGAGCAGYTGAAAATGCTGCTGGAGAAGGAGTTCCAGAGGCACCAGCCTAACTCCAAGCTGGAGAAAGCTGACATCCTGGAGATGACTGTCAGCTACCTGAAGCAGCAGAGCCAGCTGCAGATGAAGAGTAAGTATTGAGTTTTCTTTCAGTCTCCATTTTACTGCAAATCTGTGACTGTTTTATGAATCTTGTGCAGTGAACAACTCCTCTAAACTATTCTTTCTTCCCTCTTTTCTTCCCTTCTCCAGCTGCAGGGTCCTTCCATAAAAGCTCCCAATTTGACTTCAGAGAGGGCTACTCCAGGTGTTTGCAAGAAGCTTTCCATTTCCTCTCTCTCCACAAAGTCCGAACTGAAACTCAGACCAAACTTTTAAGCCACTTCCAGAAGAGCCAGTCAGCTGCTCCAGAGGTCTCCTTCTCCCCAGGGAACGCCGGTGCCCTGAAGCAAGTGTCTCCAAAGGACAGCACCCCTCTCTGGAGGCCCTGGTAGTCGGGGGAGTCCTCGCTGCAGCGACCTGTGACAGTCCAGAGGAAGGATCTGACTGCATCTGATAGTCCAGCTCTGATCCTCTCTCSTGTAGGGGATTTTATTTCCCCCTGTATTTTATTTATGTATGAGAGAATGCCATGCTTTTGACTTTTTTTTTGAGATCCTGGGGCAAGAGTTGAGGCGTTCTGTTTAGTGTTGGAGCTGTGTAGGCACTGCTACAGTGCTGCCCAGGCAGGGGCAAYGTCTTCAGAATGAAGGAGGGTGTTTGTAAATGTTACAGTTGTGATGGACAGGGATTGCTGTAGGAGATTTTCTCTAATATCCCCGGTAAGAGCCATCAGCTTTGCTCCGGCTTGACTGGCGACTCTGGTTGGCTCAGTCACTCCGGAGGATAAATTTATTCCCTTTGGTTCATGCACACCTGGTTAAAATAATTTTCTCTCAGTTTGCTTGTCAGTTGTGCAGCATTAAAAAACTGGTTTGGTTTTGGTTTGGATTTCTCCCCCATGGCCCTTTCGTAGCCCTGTATATACAGTGTGAGGGATGAGCAGGAGCTAGGAAATTATGTGGAATATTTCTACTATCTGATGCTTTTTTCAATTTAGAAAAAGAGTATGTTATTGCTTTATGTTAAAGAAAAGTAGTAGGTAACAGGCTTGATTTGTCAATGTTATACATTCTGGGTGTAAGCTATGCTTTTTTTAGCATTTTCATTATAATAATGATTTTTATCTGTATTGAGTGGTTGAATTCCTGGTGGATGGTGTTTCTCCCAGTGCTGGGACTGCCCTATGGCTCATCTGCATACTGTGTATGCGTCTCTGTGTGTGTAGAGAGCAATAAAATGCATTTGTGTGCAACTTCTGTGTGGGTCTCTCCATCCCAGGGATGTGCAGCTGCTCGCAGCCTTGAGAAAGGTGAATGTCCTGAAGAAATGTTTTTTTTTTTTGTAAAGATCAAGAAGTCCCGTTCATGTTTACTCTATATATTCTTGTGACTCCCACCACGTGAATCACCCCGAACCATGAGAAGTGTTCCTGTCACACAGATTCCCTCACAATTCTATCAAGCATTTCCTCAGTCGTTGCCTCTCCTATCCCCAAACCCCTCACCTGAGCAGGAATTCTTGTACCTGCCCAGAATCTGAGTCCTCCTTCCTCACCATTTATTCACAAACTTGGCCCCTAAGCCAGGCTTTGAGGGGTTTGTACCAGGATTTGAGGGAGTGGTTTTTTACCAGGATTTGAGGGCTTGGTTTGCCAGGTTTAGAGGGGAGGGTTTGTGCCAGGTTTAGAGGGATTTGTACCAGGATTTGAGGGGTTGTTTTTTAACAGGATTCGAGGTCTTGGCTTCCCACAATTTGAGGGGTTTGTCAGGTTTTGAGGGGGTAGCCACGATTTAAGGGGTTTGTCAGGCTTTGAGGGGTTTTCCGTAATTTGAGGGGCTTGTCAGGCTTTGAGGGGTTTGTCAGGTTTWGAGGGGCTTGTCAGACTTTGAAAGGTTTGTCAGGTTTTGAGGAGTTTGACACAATTGGAGGAGTTTGTCATGTTTTGAAGGGTTTGTCAGGTTTTGAGGGGTTTGACACGATTTGAGGGGCTTGTCAGGCTTTGAGGGGTTGGTTTTCCAGGATTTGAGGGGTTTGACACAATTTGAAGAGTTTGTCAGGGCTTGAAGGGTTGGTTTGCCTGGATTTGAAGGGTTTCTCAGGCTTTGAGGGGYTGCTTTGGCACAATTTGAGGTATTTTACTGACTTTGGGCACAGCTCTCTCCCTCCCAAAGCCTCCCCTCGGCAGAAAGTGCGGGAAGCGCTGAGGGAGCCCGAGCCACACAGCCCGGCGGCTYCYCCTTCCCATYYCCTTCCCATTTCCTTCCTCCATGCCTTCTTCTGCTTATGTTTTGGCGTCCTGCGGGGACCCCTGCCGGGGCACCATGAGGATGGAGAGCGGGGCAGGGGAGAGGCCAGGAATCGTGAGGGAACGGCCTCAGGGGCCGTGAGAGACCCGCCTGAGGGCGTGAGGGACCCGCCCCGGTGGCTGTAAGGCACTCGCCTGAGGGGCCGTGAGGGATCCGCCCCGGTGACTATGAAGGACCCGCCTGAGGGACCGTGAGGGAATCGCCCCGGTGGCCCTGAGGGACCCTCCCCGGTGGCTATGAGGGACCCGCCTGAGGGCGTGAGGGATCCGCCTTAGGGTGTGTGGGACCCGCCCCGGTGGCCCTGAGGGACCCGCCTGAGGGGCCGTGAAGGAATCGCGCCCCGGTGGCCCTGAGGGATCCGCCTGAGGGCGTGAGGGACCCGTCCCGGTGGCGTGAGGGACCCGCCTGAGGGACCGTGAGGGAATCGCCTCGGTGGCCCTGAGGGACCCTCCCCGGTGGCTATGAGGGACCCGCCTGAGGGCGTGAGGGATCCGCCTTAGGGTGTGTGGGACCCGCCCCGGTGGCCCTGAGGGACCCGCCTGAGGGGCCGTGAAGGAATCGCGCCCCGGTGGCCCTGAGGGATCCGCCTGAGGGTGTGTGGGACCCGCCCCGGTGTCTATGAGGACCCGCCTGAGGGACCGTGAGGCACCCGCCCCGGTGGCCCTGAGGGATCCGCCTCAATGGCCCTGAGGGATCCGCCTGAGGGCGTGAGGGACCCGCCCCGGTGGCTGTAAAGGGACTTGCCTCACAGACCGCGAGGGGAAACAGCCTCGGTTGCCGTGAGGGGAAACCTCCAGGGGTCATGAGGGACTGGCCTCAGGGATCCGGTTCTTGCAGTGTAACCTGGCCGTTGTGTTGCCCTGAAGTTTTCACCATGGTGTCGGTCACACAGGTGGAGTGCTGGCTGTGAACTGGGCTGTGCTACATGGGCACTGAGTGTAATGTGGCCAAGAACACTTTACGCTTTTTCCCTGTGTGCAAAGGCAGAAGTGTGTGAGCTGCTGCCTGTGTTGAAAGGTCTCTGCAGGAATCACTGGGTCAGTTCTGACTAGCTGAACTCTCCTTAGCCAGAGGCACAGAGAGTAATCCTGTGAGTTCTCCCTTCTAGGCACAAAAAACGAGGACAATGTGTGTGAAGTTTGCCCTCCTGGAACCTCTTCCACAGCCTACATGTCTGAGASCTGCACTCCACTGCCCTGTGGAGCAGCTCGGACTCCTTTATGGGTGAGTGAGGCTGTTGGGTCTGCATTGTGGTCTCTTCCAAACAGCAGCATCCTCTTTCCAGTGAGGCACCGAGTGTGGAATCCTGTCCCTATGTCCCACGCTTACTTGGGAGCAGCTTAACTCCACTCCTTTGTAAGCTCATTGACATGATGGATTTAGCCTTCAGCCTTTCATCCAAAATTGTCCYTGCACTGGAGGCTCTCAGGTGGGTCTAGCAGAGCTGGATCTGCAGCCATGGAGAGCAGAACACTCTTGGTACCTGGGTTTCAGCTGACACACCCCTTAGCTAGAGTAGAACAGCTGACAGCTTGCTTCTGCGGAAAAACATTTTGCATTTAAAAAGCATTAAAGCGAAGAGGTAAGAGCCAGCTCCCACTTGGATAACTCACCAAGTCAGAAAGACCTTTGGGTGGTGTGATGTGGAAAACAGGGCAACAGTTCCACTGGAAGGTTGTAACACCACAATTACTTTTCTCACATCAGACATGAGGAGCCGGACCCTTCCCCAGCTCTACCTGTGACAGTAATCAYAGCCATCCTTAGCCATGATCCTGCTGGCTGGTGCATCTGCCCTCACACATCTGGCAAAGGAGGAGAAGGACAAGTTATGTGCCYCAGAAGTATGAAGAACACGACTGTAATGAGGTAGTTTTGTAATAATATCCTGAAGAATGGCCTTTGTTCTTCWGCTGAAATTTCCCCTCACTGCTTGTTGGTGGGACTGTTTCCTTTCCTTTGCAGCAGTGCCCGAGTCAGAGATGAGTATCTCTCTATTTTTTTGGGTAATACATTAAGATCTGATTTGAGAGTGGCCCAACAGTGGTTCTTACTCTTAAAAGAGAGAAGAAAAAGCCTGGCTATTAGTGSTGGAAAGAGCAGGATTTGCTGATAAAAGCTGATAAAAGCTGACTGTTCATACTCTGTGTTTCCCTTTGACGTGTCATAAAGCATGAACAGCACGGGCAGGCTTTGATGTTAATGAGGAGAAAGGGGATCAAACAACAGCTCCTGTGCAGGAAGTTGGTGCCGACCCCAAAGAAACCAGGCCTGAATTGGATATTGTTTGAACTGTGGCAGACAATGAGGATGGTTAAAAAACCAAAGCACAACCTCTTTTTTTTTCCTAAATCATCATGAAGAGAAAGGCAGCTTGAAAATGAAAAGGAGGGTTTGCAAAGGAGTTAATGAAATAGCCCAGTGGCATCTTGTGAAGCATCAAAGTCTSAAATAGCTGAGTGATCAAGGCACTGGGGGTGTCATCAGAGGCTGGAAAGCTCTTCCCTTTTACATCCCCTTCAGGAGCAGTGGGCTGTGTGGAATGCTTGGACTTTTCTTCTTCCTCCATGGACAGTTGACACTTGGTATGCATTAATTATTCCACTATTGCTTGGTGGTGGGAAAAACGGTCTCTTTTTTTTTTTCCATTTTAAACATTCCATGTATTTAATAGACAACACAATTTCCAAATGCATTTTTGTAGAGATTTTTTAGTTTTTAGGAGTTAGGAAGATATTGCTGGGGAAAGGAATTGTGCACGTCAAGAACCATGTGGCTTTTAGTAAAGGAAGTTAATATCCTCTGTGTCCACTGTGTCTAAAAATAAAGTTTTTACTCATGGAAACACATTCTCCCTGTGAAAGATCACCCCTGGTCCTGCTGAAGGGAAGACTCTGAGTTGTGTGGCTGTTGGCTTTATCGTAAGGAAAAAGATTATTCTGGATGAGCATCCTGGTGGATGTTTTTAAGAAAGGATTTGGTGAGGATAGAGACGCTGTTTTGGATTTTTAAAAAATTGATGATGGCTTATTCTTGTTGCTGCAGTTATCTGGATCTTGAGGTATTCAGTGTTACTGTTTTACTGGGGTGAACTTTTACACAAAGAGCAGTGAAAGTAGTTCTTAAGGGAAAAGAGTTAAATATTGCTGTTGTTCAGTAAGTGTTGTCATTAGGAGGAGGAATTTATTTATATTTTAGGCAGCAGTTTCTACAAAGATGTTTTTGTAAACAAATACCTGTCCTCCAGTCCCGTAATTATGACTTCCAGTGGGTTTATTTCCAGGTGGAAGCTGCTGTAGGTGTGGAAGGGCAGCAGCAATCAGGATCAGCAATCTACCAAGTAAAAATTTTTTTTTTTTTTGCAATGTTTCATGTCTGCACCAACCGTGTGCTCGATGGAGTCTGAAACTTGCCCCTGTTGGATGTGAGTTTTGGTGTTTTAGGAGCTGGAACCGGATTTGTCACCAGGTGGCAGCATGGGAGAAGGAAAGACTTCGGATTCTTCCTTTCGGCAAACATCGGGATCTTCCTTCTTTTGCTAAGTATGTAATAAAGCTGCTCTGGTGCTTCATTGTCTACGAGTTTTAAGTAGAGCAAAACACGTCTGGGTACAGAACTTCCCCCAGGGCTGAAGCATTTTATGATTGKGGAAAAGGAACACAGTGGCCAGTAGGAAATCAGGGCCATTTCCTGGGGATTTGGAGCCTCTTCTGTGTGTGGGCACAGCACCAGGATCAGTGGGCCTGTAAGGAGMGGTTGGAGCTCTTGGCAGAGACACAAAGTGACAGCTGGGAAATCTTCTGCAGGTGGGAAATGGGATAAACTCACATGAAAAAGCAGAGTAACTCCCATGGGCTGTGATGGTCACTTGGAGTAAACCCTCCCAGGCATTATCCCTTTAACAGTCA